GCCGTACGTCGGCCCCGCCCCCTACGGCGGCCGCGCGGGGCCAGGCGCCGCAGAAAGCGAAGCGCGTGCGGGCGAGCGGCCGGCGGTCCACCGATTCGAATCCGCCTCTGCAGGCCTCCGCGACCGTGGCACGAGGACGCTGCCGGCCGGGCCTGCGCAGTCCTAAATGACGCATTTCGCGTGCCCTCCAGAAAGTCCCCCAGCTGTGCAGATGCAGACTCAATGTTCCAGGCTCCTGTTTAGGTGGGATCCTTGCAAGGTAACCGGTGGATAGCGTCCGTAGGCCGTCAGAAATCCTGTACCCGAGCCACTGCCCCGTGGCTGGTGCTGACCACAAAATGCTGCGTTTAGTGATGTGATAGTCAACCTGCGGGCTTCCAGGTGTCTCCTGAGAGCTATGGGCCGCCCACCCAGCCCTGCGCCCCGGTGACTCTGGATCCACCTGGCCTGCGGCTCAGTGCCCGGACCTGCTCAGCATGGCCCACCTCCACTTCTGGTTCCGTGTGCCCTGGCAGAAGCCTCCAGCCCTGGGGGATGAGAGCCTGCACGGGGCTTTCAGGTGGGGAGCCACTCACACCTGCCGCCCTGGTTCCCACTGTGTGTCCTGGCCGTGAGTCCCTGGTTTGGAGGGCACACTGCCTCTCACAGGACAGCACCCAGCCCTGTTGGGTCACCCCAGCTGATCCTGTACCGGAGTCTGCAATGGGCCAGGCCACCGTCCTGACAGCCCAGTGGCTCGTGGGCAATACGTGCCCGAGATGAGCAATCCCGGGGAATGAGCCCCTTGCCTCACCTCCTTCTGCAAAATGACCTCCTTGGTCAGAAGCGGTGTTGTGTGGGCACGTGCTGGCCGGCCTCCAGCGCACTCCGGTGCTGCTCTAGCAGAAAGCCTTGTAGGCGGGAAGAGAAATCCGTATCCAGAGGAAGTGTCTATGCAGGGAGAACAAGTCACTGCCTCATGATGGAAACATCCTATTAGCCAACCTGCTGTCAGGTGGCTGGCTGGTCCCCCCAGGGAGCGGAGCTATTCCGGGGGCTCAGTGCTGTTGAGCGGCTGGGCACTCCGCAGTTGTTGGAGGCAGGCGGGCCTTGGTTAGGGGAAGTCTGTGTTGCTGAGCCCATAGCCTCTATCCCAGCTGCCATGGCCACTTCGTGAGCACTGGGAGGCAGGGGAAAGCCGTTCAGGGTGGTGACTCACATCAGGTTTTGGCCATAAGGCCTAGAGCTCCATTTCTGTTCCACGAGGCCAGCACTAGTCTAGGTGGCTGCCCATGTATTTCATTCTGGACACCCCGATTAGCCAGAGTCCCTGTGAGAGAACACTCCGCGCAGCAGTGTGTCCCAGCCTCCTATTGGGGTAAGGTCCAGCCTTGGTTGGAGACAGCGTGGCCGCTGTGGGACCATGCAGCCTGCCTGGGGCAAAGAAAGGTTCCAGCGGCTGAGAGCCAGAGCTGGTCTGCAGGAGAGCCCACCCCTTGGCCAGGAAACTCACTAGGGGGTATGTGGGGGCCACGGAAACTGCCCACCAGGGCTGAGAATCTTGCTGGGCATGGGACAGGCTGGAGGAGGTCCACCAGAAGCAGCCACAGGTGGAGGAGAAACTCACTGAAGAGCCTTCCCCTTGCTGGCCCGCTGGCAGTGTGCCGTAGGAAGAGAGAAGCAGCCGGAGACAGAGAGGGAGCCCCTCGCTCTCCCTGGCAGCCGCGTTGCTCCCGCACTCTGGCGAGGAAGCCCCATCAAGCTAGCTGGCGAAGGAGAAATGTCTGCGGGTCTGGCTCCCCCATCACGAGCGGCCAAAGAGAGAGCGAGTCCCCGGTCAGCCTTCACATACCGCAGTACCGATGCTCCGGGACTCCCGGGACCGGGTCATAAAAGGTGACACGGCCAGTGGAACTCACTTGGAACTCAGCCACCTAGTCGGCGGAGCCTAGTGGCCCGGAGCGCAGCCTGGGTGGAGAGGAACTGGCAGGCAGTGGCCCGTGCCAACCACGCGGCCACCGGCTTGCACAGGGAGGTTTCTGTCCCCCGGCCAGCTAACGTTGCAGGGAGCAGGGATGCGCCTTTCCCGCGGACTCGGCTTAAACGGGAGATTCTTGAACTCGGCCCACGGTGGTGGCTGGCTCCACAGCGACAGTGGACCGGAACGCTGGAGTAGGCAGGCGGGGGATTTGCAGCGTGTACTTCTTGGAATCCTGCACGGCGGGGCCCATTCTGCCCTCTGTTTCGGGCCCCCAGTCCTGGAACCAGCTCGGGCTGGGGGCAGGTGAGAGGTCGGACTCTGTTAGGTGCTTGGCGTCAGATCTCTCCTCACCCGATCTGGATTATTTTCTCAATGATCAGTGCGAGCTTTCCTACAACGTCCATCTTGTTCAGGCCTAGGGGCGCCTGACCAGCTGCAAGTCCAAGACCAATGTCGAAGAGTCCGGCACTGTCCCTCGTGACCACTGCTCCCACAACCCCGCTCTCCTGACCCCTGGGCCTGCCCCCTAGGGTGCCCAGGGGAAATCAGCACCTCCACCGTCATTCCTGACCCACAGAGGGCTTTTCAAGAACGTGAGGTCCTCACCATGGGCTTCCTCAGGGCCCCTGTCAAGGTGCTTTGGGGACACAGCAAGGGACCCAGTGAGTGGGCTGCACCTGACACATTCACAGCGCGTCCTTATCTCCCTAAGCCCCTGGAGTCTCCCCTATGTATTACACCAAGGGATTTCTGGCAGCTCAGCTGTGCCGCGTTTAGTCCAAGTTTCCAGCAACAAAGGGGCAAGGTTTGGAGGAGGTCAAGGAAAGGCCCTCGCAGGTGAAAGCAAGAGGTGGGGCCCCGAGTGTCTGGAGAGAGCACCCATGCGGACCCGCTGTGGCTCTCTGCTGTGAGTCAGCAAAATCTTGGTATTCTTGGGCTGGGGTCTGGAGGAGAATCGCCTCCCCGAGGCAAGTGACTGCCTCAGTGTGGTCCCCACGGGAGGGGCTGTCTCAGGGAGGAGGGTCCCCTGTGCTGGCGGGCCAGGCTTTATGGGCTTAGCCCCGCGGGCGGGGCATGGTCCTTCCACCCCGGGGTCTCCGTCCTCACTCCTCTCCGCACTCCGATCTGGACCTGGCAGGGTGGAGAACCCGCTGTCTGTGGGAATCCTGCCAGCCCCAGGATGAAGCTGGGGGAGTGGTTTCCAGGTACAACGGTCCTGCCACAAGAAACCAGATCTTCTTTCATAGTAGTCCAACAGATTTTCCGATTTTCTGGTTCTACCCTGGAACTGAGAACTTAAAGCTTGTCGTCTTAAAAACGTCATATTCTCCGGGGAAGTCAGAAA